GATGAAGGATTTGTGCCACCAGGCTGAGGGATCTACACTGGGGCTGAGAAGTGATGCTCAGAGTGAAGATCAGACCTCCCCTGACGAGAACAGCAGCCATTCCCAGTGACAGAGAGGCCCAGAGCTCCTCCTCTGATGAGAACAGCCAAGTTTGCATCAGGAAAATAACCCATAGCAAGCTACTCCTAGAAAATCAATAGCCCCCAATCTTCCCCTCCACTTCTCTTTTTATGGTTATCGGCCCCAATCCTCAGGTGGATCTTCCACACTCAGACCATGCTGATGCAGTTCAGCTGGGTGTTATAAATTGACTATTAATGTACCACAAGCCCCTTTGGTAACTTTTGCCTGGAGTTGTTTCTGCACCCTTTATTCTTTTCTATTGATCCACAAATCTGTTTTGTTTTTCCAGTACTATGCTGTTTTTAATTGCAATAGCTTCGTAGTATTACTTGAAGTCCAGGATTGTGGATGTCCCATGCCTTACCCTTGTTGCCCAGAGTTGCCTTTGTTATTCTAGATGTCTTCTGGTATCATACATATTTTAGATTGATATTTCTAGTTTTGGGAAGAATATTATTGGTATTTTTTTAATGAGGATTGTGTTAAATCTGTGTAACAGTTTTGGAAATACAGTATGCTCATTTTCACTATGTTGGTTTTTGCTATCCAGGAACAGGGAATATCTTTCCATTTTCTGGTGTCCTCTTCCATCTCCTTTTCAGGGAGATGGAAAATGTAGTAATGTAGATTTCATTGGTTAGGTTAATTCTTAAGTATTTCATTTTACTTGATGCTGTTGTGAATGATATTGTTTCCTTTATTTCTCTCTTGGTGAATTTATTGATGTACAAGAGTACTATTGATTTTTAGTGTTGACTTTGTATCTTTCTACATTACTGAATTTGGTCATTTTATGAGTCCTTTGGGGTCCTCTATGCAAAGGATCAAGCTGCAAATACTGATAATTTAACTTCTTTCCTATCCATATTCCTTTTATTTCTTTCTCTTGTCTAATTGCTCTAATGTTTTGAGAACTTTATTGAACAGGAGTGGTGATAGTAGATAGCCTAGTCTTGTCAAACCATCTTTACTTGGTCATATCTTTTTGATGATTTGCTGCATTCTGTTTGCCAGTATCTTATTGAGGATTTTTGCATCTATGTTCATTAAAGCATTTGGCCCGTAGTTCCCTTTTTTTGGTTGAGTACTTTTCTGGTTTTGAAATGAGGGTAATGCTAGCTTCTAGAAATGACTTTGGAAGTTTTGCTTCCCTTTTGATTTCATGAAAGAATTGGAAGAGTATTGGCATTAGATCTTTGCAGAGATCTTACAGAATTTGGCAGTGAATCAGTCAGAACCTGGGCTTTTCTTAGTAGCTTTTTTTTTTAAATGATTTTTTTCAGTTTCATTGAGTGATAATAGATTATTAAAGATTTTTATGTTTTGTTTCCGCTTTGGTGATTCATATGTATCTTTGAAATACCCATTTCATCTGAATTTTCCATTTTATTAGTGTACCCATTTCATCTGAATTTTCCATTTTATTAGAGCACTGTTTCTCAAAGTGGTTAGTGATGATATTCTGGATTTTGGCAGGATCTGTTATAATTTTGCCTTTTTCATTTCTAATTGGTTGAATTTGAGTCTTTGCTCATTTTGGTAAGATTGACTAAGAGCTTGTTTTTTGTTTATTCTTTCAAAGAACCAACTCTTCAGTTCATCAATATGTTAAGCCTCAGTTTTCATTAATTTTTGGTCTGATCTTTATAATTACCTTTCTTGTACTAGCTTTTAGATTTGGATTTGGATTGTTCTTTTTCTAGGACCTTGAGTTGTCTCATTGGATTATTTGAACTGGACCCAGTTTTCTGATATGGGTCATTGTTATGAACTTCCCTCTTAGGATACCTTTGATTGTGTCCCTTAGGTTTTTATATGTTGTACTGGCATTATTGTTTGATTATAAGAACTAATTTCTTAATTTCATCTTTGAGCCATTGATAATGTAAGAGGTTGTTGTTTAATTTTCATGTGTTTGCATACTTTCTGAAATTACTTTTCCTATCAATATCTGGTTTCATTGCACTATGATCTGATAATAAGTGTGGAATAATTTTGATTCTTTTACTTAACCATGCTTTATGCACTATATGTGGTCTGTGTTGGTGAAAGTCCCATGTGGTACTGAGAAGAATGTGTATCCTCTTATTGAATATAGATATCTATTAAGTCCTTTTGCTTGAAAGTGTGGTTCAACTCTGATATTAGTTGATTTTTTTGTTATTTAGTTGATATGTTTATTTGTGATAATGGCATGGTATTGAGGTCTCCCATTACAATTGTTTTGGTGTTCATATGATTTTTCACAGTCATTAGAGTTGTTTTACAATTCTGTGTTTTACATACACTAGTATTTGGTGTGTATCTTTGTAACTATTATATCTTCCTGTTGATTTGTTTCCTTAGCCAATATGTAATGGCCTTCTTTGTCTCATCTGATCAGTTTTGGCTTGAAATATACTTTGTCTGAAGTTGGGGAAGGTACTCCTGCTTTTATCTAGATTTCTGTTGCATGGACTATTGTTTTTCATCCTTTGATTTTAATCTGAGAAGTTTGTGGGTTTTTTTTTTTCTTTGTACTGGGAATCAAACTCAGGTCCTTGCACTTGTGAGGCAGGCAGCGGAACCATTGAGTTAAATCCCTGACCCCTGTGAGGTTATCTTTGAATCATATGTGTTTCTTGTGTACCATATACTCTTGGGTTTTGTTTCTTGATTCATTCTGCCAATCTGTGTCTTTGATTCAGAAATTGAGATAATCCATATTGACAGTTATTAATAAGTTGTATTAATTTATTGCATTACTGTTAATTAATTTTTGCTTAACTGCTTGTCCTACCAGGTAGGTATATTCATTCTTTTGGATTTATGGGCATTGTTGGCTTTATTGTTTCTTTCTAGGATATCCCTGAGAATTGTTAGTAATGCTAATTTGGTGGTCATGAATTTCTTGAGGTTCTCCTTCTCATGGAAACATCTTATTTTTTAGCCCATTTTGAAGGAAAGTTTTGTGAGATATATAAGACTGTGTTGGAAGTTGTTTTCTCCTAGGGCTAGAAACCCTTCGCTCCAAAGCCTCCTTGCCTTTAACATTTGTATTGAGAAGTCTGCTGTAATTCTAATAGGCTTACCTTTGTATGTGATTTGTTGACTTTCTCTAACAGCTTATAAGATTTTTCTCCCTGTGGTAGACTTTTGGTACTTTGAGTATAACAAGATGTAGAGAGGTTTCTCTTTTGGCCATGGCTATTTGGGGTTTTATATGACTCATTTATCTGTATGTTTCTTTCTTTCTCTATATTTGTGAAATTTTCTGCCATTACTTCTGTGAACAGGGTTTTTAATGTCATTTTTGCTGTCTTTTAGTATTTTACTTATTCTAGTTACTCTTAGATTGGCTTTGTGTCCTCTAGCAGCTGTTGGATTCATTTTTTCATGTTCACTTGTTGCTTTTAAAGTGTCTTTGGGTATTAGGTCTTTGATGGCATTGTCTTCTAGTTCTGAAATTCTGTTCTCACATCAGTCACTTCTGCTGCCCATACTGTCACTGTAGATTGGCTGTGAGAGAATAGGGAATTTTAGGAAACACATTCTTATCTTCACGTTTCTATATTTTGTTTGTTTTGTTTTATGGTGAGCTTTGTGGATGCTTACAGTGTAAAGGCTTTTTGCTAGTATAGACATCTCTTTAGCCACTTTTCAGGGATGTACTTTGGCATGACTAACTATATATATAGTCCTTTGCTTCAGCCTCAAGATCTGACAACCTTGATTAGTTTGGGAGTATAGAATGCAGCCTATGTAATCAGCCCAACACTGAGTTTTCTGGGAATGTATTCTTGTGTTTTTAGTGTCACAAAGATAATCTGAGTGTTGTTTACAAAGAAATAGCAACAATATTGCAACCATGGTGGGTGGGGGATTTAGCTCAGTGGTGCCACTACCTGCCTCACAAGGGCAAAGACCCTAGTTTGATCCCAGTACCCCCCCAAAAAAACTGTAACCATGGTAATAACAAGCAAATTAGCTACAGTAGCATCATCCAAAACAAATTGGATATTAACATATCATAAGAACTATTATGGTATTACCTCCCTTAACCCTTCAGAAAAGAATCCATAATAATGTTATAAACACTAATACAAGCCATATATTGACTTACAGCTAATATGTACTAAAAGCAACAGCTTTATTTCTGCTAAGGGTAGGAAAGAACTCAACAGTAATTTTATAGAGTTAACTATCCAAAGATTCAAAAAGCATTATTGTTATGCCATTAAAGATGCAGGATTTGGGAATGGGTACATGCAAGAGGAAAAACTTTGAAATCTTAGGTTTTATATGATATGAAAAGGAGAAGAGAGAAGTGGCCTTTTGGGGGCTGAAGGATGTTTATAGAATTAGATAAAGAGAGGAAAACAATTATGTACAAATTAAAAATAAGAGAGAAAAAGTTAAAGACAAAAATCAAAGTGAGACGAAAAAATAAGGAGAAAAGGAAGAAAAAGATAAAGAAGCAAAGAAAAAGGATGAAAGAAAATTCCACAAGTCCCAATAAACTGGTAAAGAAGAAAGGAGGAAAGGAAAACAAACAAGAAAACTAAAAACAGTGCACATACAAAAACAAAAATGAAAAGAAATTCTCTGTTATTTTGAATATTTGATTTCCTTCCAGGAGCTACAATTTTGAGTCAGTGTCCCTGTCAAGACAAGTCTGATTTACACTGATAGATAAAGAAGCAATCAGACCCCATATCTATACTAGATGCAGGCATCAGCATACAGTAGAATTAGGGTGAGGGTGCCAATGGCATGCTTTTTCAAGTCTAGAACAACTCGGGGCTGATTCTAGCCTCTAGCCATGGAAAGTGGGCTTGTGTCCTTTAGCTCAAACCCCTTTAGGGGTGTCTTTCCAGTCTGACCATAACTTCCTGACCATGGCTGTCTCCTGTGGCTGTTTCTCCTCCAGATACTGTTGGAATGCAAAACTAGGAGAATCCTGCGTTCAAACGGTCAACCCTTCCCTGTAATCACACCCAAACAAGCATTCTCTCCAGGGATGTGGCAAGCTCTCAGACTAGATTCAGTCACCAGCTGTTGGCTGTCAAAGAACTCACATGCACTCTTCCCATAGCTCACAGCACACTCTCGTCCATTCCACCTCTGAATTTCTCCCTGATGCCTTCTGGAGTCCCCAGCTTTCACTCTGTAATTTCAGTCTTTCTTGCTCCAGAGCTGTGAGCCAGGAGCTAGGGAGAAAATGCAGATTGTTGTTCTTTCTCTTCTTCACATTGTGTTATTTTTCTTCAATTTCTTTTGTAGATTTTTCATTTTTCTGTCAGATCTTTCATGGTTCCCGGGGATCTACTTCTTTGAATTTTTTTTTTTTTCTTCTTCTTCTTCTTTCCCAAGTTGCTATTTTCTAGGATCTGGAATCCACATCTTGCAGAGGCTGAGTTGTTGTTGCTTATCACCACTCCGCCATTTTCCCAGAAGTCCCTATGTCTAATTTGAATTTTTGCAAAGCATTTTTCTGCTAAGGACAATGGAAAAGACAGCATGTAAATAAAAGATCCTTTCTTGTTCCATATATTTTTTTCATATAGTCCAAGGAGAAGTCCTCTGTAGGACTGAAATACAATTTGATCACACAACAGGTTCAGGATAGATTCTAGCTATGTCTAGAATTTTATTGTAGGTGTTAGGTTGAGTGGACTCTGAGGCGGGAAACAGCTGCCAGGGAGGAAAGGCCTAATGAAGGTGTAGTGACAGAGATGCAGACTATTGGACCAGGCTTCTGGAACCAGCACAGTTTTATACTAGTTTGGGGAAAATAATAAAGATTTGTCCTGATTGTTTTTCCATGTCTCAACAGTATCAATAGTCCTTCAATTGCAGATCATACCTTGTGTGGTGGAAATGAAAATCTAGAGTTACGTATAACATAATTTCAGGCAGCAGACTGAGTGGGATGGATGAGGAAAAAGAGTAAATCCTTAGCAGACAACCCTGAGAATGGTGAAACATTCCCAAGAACAGTAAATTTGCAGATGCTCTTTTGATGTAAGAGCATTTCCAAATTGTGGACTACCTTTTATTAAGTGAGCATCTATAGATTCTTAGGATTATTGCCAATTATGTTACTAAACCAGACTGTCTCTTCTCTGGAAGTGTAAGACATCCTTGACTTCAGCATTCACAGAGAAATGGGCAAGCCTTCATAAGGCAGTTACAGAAGCTATATTCAGATTTGTATATTTCTAGTATAGCCACAATCATAGTGTGTGAGAGGAACAACCTAAGAGGTACAAACTGTTGTGTTTAGGAGGAGCTGAGTGGAGAGCTTTGCTGTCTCTCACTGCACCTCTGTTCAGTGAGTATACTCCACTGTCTTGTGGTTCTCTTCTCTCACTCTCCAGGAAGTTATGCTCTTACCATATGAAGAACTGACTGATCCAGTAGCATCCTTATGCTTCATTCTGTGGCAGACCTAAAGAAGGAAAGTTTTCTTTGTTGGTCCCACGCTATTTGTGATGCTCTGTGTGCTCTTTGGCATACCCACTCTTTGCTGTTGTGGCTGAGCAGCAGTATTGGAAATCGAGTAGTATTCCACCTGAGTTTTCTAAATAATCACTACTTTATGTATTAGTAATTTTAGCATTTAGGTGATGCTAATTATTGATCCTCCTGAGTAGAGTCTCTCTTTCCTATAAAACTATCAAGTATTAGTTTCAGCTGAATTTAGAGATGCCCTTAAGTCATTTCTATCAAGAATGTGGCCCATACAACACCCTACATCTGAACAACATGGGGCAGAGGATTAGTTTTTGAATATATAGATCACTTGACCTCATTCTGTGGGGCTTTCTTAAAAATCAAGTCCAGAAATCCTTTTTATAAACATCGTTCCCTAAGTGATTCTGATGCAAATGAATAGGGGTTCTGAGGGAATGAGAAGGCCAAGAATTTTGGTTCTTTCATTACTCCCAGCACCAAAAATAGTGGCTGGCACTTCTTATCTGTTGGGAGGGTGAGTTATTTGGACAGTTTCATGCTTCTTATCTGCTAGGGGTTATTAAATTTTGTTAGAAATTAATAAAAAGACTATAAGGTATCTTAAGACACTCAATGAGAATTACTTGAACTTTAGATGGAGTATGTGCCTCTTTTTTTTTTTGTTTCATGATCCAGATGTTCTGTTTCACTTCTGGTACAGATTTGGTAAATGCTCAGTAGCTGTTGGATTCCTAGTTCTCAGCTATGATTTGAGTAAAGTTGCTTTAAAATTTAATTATTTCTGTCTTACACTGACCTTTTATTTGTGGTCCTTAGCAAGCTTACTCTCAAAATTTCAGTTACATAACATGAAGCTATTTGGAAGTGCAAAGTAATTTTATTTGTGTCTATGTGTTATTATTGTTGCCCTTCATACTCTGTAGTGAGCAAAGTGTATGCTTTCTAAAAATATTTCTATTGAAATATTCTGGGGTCCCAAAGGGCTTTAAATTGTGAGAGCAGACAATAAATAAGGAAGGATTGTTGTCTTTCATGAAGTTTTTTTGTTTTGTTTTGTTTGTACTGGTGATCTAACTCAGGACCTTGTGCTTGTGAGACAGGCAACAAAACCACTGAGCTAAATCCCCGACCCTTTCATAAAGTTTTTGATCAGTTGGATTTGAAAATGTTTATCTTTTCCTTGTTTTTTTAAATCTTAAAGTACCATTCTAAGACTTTGGAGTTTTTCCTGTTAAATTTTTTTAACCTAAGCCGGGATATATCTAAGTATCCAATGTTTTGAGTATCTGTAGCTTTTGGGTTTTTTTTCTTCTTTTGTTTTGCTTTTAAATCAAATGAAAATTTCATTTTCTGTGTTCAGTCAATTTTTCCCCATAAGCATCTATGTGTTTAGAGAAAAATGATGCAGAATAGGTATGGTCAATATGTTTATTCAAGAGTTATGTACTTACTTCCTCATTAAAAAAGATACTGATGTAAAATAGGTTTTTTTGGATAAAGATAAGCATAAATGGATTAACTATTCAAAGATTTTGAAATTCATTTAACAAATAATATTTGAGTAACTTCACAGTACCAGATATAATGCTAGGCTCTGAGATACAGACATGAATGATACATTTACTGAATTTCATAAGTGCACATTTTAGTTGGGCAACTGGACAACCAGCCATTGAAATAAGAGCTGTAAATGTGTGAGAAGTACGGCTCGGTAAGAAGAGAACACAAAGAACAAAAGTAAAGCTAGAACTAGACTGTAAAGGATTAAGAGTTGGTTTGGATAGATAAGGATGTTTCAGGAAGGAGAAGAAAGTGGTTTGCTGGCCTGTGAACTTGGTATATTTTACCAAGGTGAAGTTCTAGGTGACAGGTCTATTTAGACGTAGGTCATAATACCTTTCTTTTTCTGTTCTGAGAACTCTTCTTATTTATATTCATCAACTGATAGAGATGATTGAAAGGATTTTTGAAAAGGAGAGTGTCTTGATGAAATTCAAAACATTTTAGCTGTCATGTGAAAAATTGAAGCAGAGAAATCCTAAAGACACAAGAGACTAATGTGAGACCCTCATAATCTAAAGTGGAAGTAGTAAAACCTTTAATTGAAGTAGGGATTTTTGGGGCACTAAAGCAGAATTTTGAAATGTGTTTGTTTTAAAACAACACATTTTACATTTGTGGACTAACAATAAGAATCATTGGACTTTAAGTTCAGAGACTTTTAACAAATGTCAAGTAATATTTATTTTGGTGATTTAAACTTTACATTATTAGTAGTACTTATTTTCTCTATGCTTATATGCTGGTTTTACTGTTATGTATTTCTGGCATGTTTTTGTGTGCTTAGTGTATAGTTGGAGTGATTACAGCGTTTTGAAAAGACTTTCTGCCTTAACCACTTACCAGTTTACCCCAAGCCTCATTTGTTTATATGCTGACTATCCTGATTGCCCCTCGGGGTAGGTGTTATTTCAACCAGTCTATCTTGTATTGAATAAATTTGATAAAATCATTTTTCTATTTCCTATTATATTACCTTATAAAAATTAACAAAAATGAAATTTTTGATCATCCAGTATTTAAATAATTGAATTGCTAAATGGTTAATCCCATGAACTCAGGGCTGCTTTTTGTGCAGAGCTTTACTGTTGGGAAAAAAAGTTGTACCAGTTAATTTACAAACTCACTAAGGTAGTATGTTTATAGAATGCTCTGTACATAATAAATGAACTAGAATTTCACAAATCTTGAAGCACAAACTGAAAGACTAAAATTTAGTGGTTGTTGTATGCTTAGATTTTAGACAGGACCTTCAAAATAGATTGTAGTTACAGAATTTACTTACAAAATCATCAAAATGATTATTATACTTAACTATATTCCAAATCTTTATAACAGATTCATTTTATATATATTTCATGAGTAGGCTTTTTTTGATTTGAGCTTAAACAGATTAGTATCAAATCACATGAAATGAAAAAGAAAATGAACAAAATCATATTACTGGGCCTGAGGTCTCAAGTTTGATCCGCAGTACCAAAAAAACCACCACCACAACAAAAAAATTACAAACAATATTGTGTCCACAGATAAGGCTAGAAAAATAAAAGGAACAAAACCCTAACTCTTACCTTAAAAATAGTAACCATTTCAATACTATTTTATATATCTGTTTATATATAATATTTATTACATAGGTTACAATTCTGTATTCAGTATTATTTCATTTTCTTTTTTCATATTTTGATTTTTTTCCTACACATTTCTTCATGTGTTTACTGCACGGCTCACAGCTATCTTTTTTACATGCTAGCTTTTCCTGTTGACATTTGAAAGGTTTAAGAGCATTGCTATATCTCATTGGTCTTTGTATTCTTGCCTGTAGTCTGGGACATGATGAAAATTTAATCCAGTATATTTTCTGAGTGTTCATGGCTTTTCTGTTCCTGTATATTGTCACTTTTAGATCCTTGGATATTTTGTATAATAGAGCTGGATATTACAGATAGAAATCTAAGTAGCAGGCATTTTATCTTTTCTTTCTATCCCTTCTGATTTGAGATTGGCCTTTATGTGATCTGAAATACTGACCCCCTTCCTTCTGGTCTCTACCACAAGTGATCACAATTCCTTGTTTTGTCCACTGAGAGTTACCTTCTTGCTCATGCTTATCCACTGCCACATCACATTAAAGTCTTTCTACTGAAGGTAAGACAAAGATCATGTTCTGTAACAGGTTGAGCCAGTTCTTCATAATTTTACATCCAATGACTGCTCATTTCATCTCCTGTCTTGCAGGAATATCTCTGCCTTTTCTGAGTTCTGTACTCCAGTCCTATGTTAAAAACAAAAAAACATGGGTTCCTGAGAGTGCCATTTTCTCTACACTGCCTACTTTTGTACCTCCTTTGAGGGCACTTTACTGAGTGCAGAATTGTATCCTTTGTGCTTCATAGTACTTTATTCACTCTTTAGTTATAACACTTAGCAAATTGTCTTGTTAAAATTTGTTTTTTCATCAGTCTCCAAAGTTAAACACAGTTTTCGCACAGACACAGATCTGCTTGTTTTTATGTTCTAAAAGCCAAGTACAATCCTTGGCATGTGGTAGACAGTCGTGGTAATCTTCACAGTGGTGCTACTCAATTGGTCTGGGATTAGGAAAGTATGAAAACAAAGTATGTAAACAAAGATACAAACATTTAGATCTAAAGTGTATTTTTGTCTGATAAGCAAAGTAATTAATGATGGCATCTCTGAAGACATCTATGAAAGTATTCCAGACAAAAGACAATTAAAAGCGACTGTCTGGAAAATTGGATTCCTAAGGCAGCATCTGGGACATATTTGGGGCTAGAAAAACCTGCAGCTATTTTTGAGTATTCCCAGAATTCACTAAATGGACCTGTGTGTTTATAATGATTTACTGAACAGAAATAACACTCAGCATAAACATTAAAAAAATAAAATAAAAGAGGGCAGGGGAATTAGCTCAATGGTTCCGCCACCTGCCTTGCAAGAACAGGAACCAGAGTTCAATCCCTGGTGCAAAAAAAAAAAATCTAGCCAGGCGTGGTGGCGCATGCCTGTAATCCCAGCACTTGGGAGGCTGAGGCAGGAGGATTGCTGTGAGTTCCAGACCAGCCTGAGCTCCAGGTCAGTCTCAACTACATAGTGAGACCCTGTCTCAAAAAAACAAAATAAACAAACAAACAAACAAACAAACAAAATAAATAAATAATAAAGACCAGACTGTGGAGAACCTTGACATAAATAAATGTTATGGTGTTAGCACTTTCCCATATTACTATAGTCATACTTCGTTGCATCATTAGTACAGTGTGATTATCAATATAAGAAGATAAATGAACTCATAAAGTTTGTGAAGCCTGGGTGAGCATATATGATTGTGTTTTTCAACTTTAAAGATTCAAATTGATGTATCCTCGGTGTAACATTTTCTGTATGAATATTGGGAGCATTCTAGATGAAGACCATTCAGTTTTTTGTTTATGTAGGAACTTTTATCAGTTGAATAATTCTTTTAATTTCAAAGAAAATTGTGTTTTTTATTTTCCAGTGTTGAAACTGAGCCCATGAGCACAAGTCACAAAAAAGAAAATGTGCTTTCATCAGAAGCAGTAAAGGTATAGTTTTCAATTAAAATTAATTTCATTATATTATTAATAATACCACACAAATAGTTTTAATCTCTGTGCATTCTTTTAGATTCTATCATCTTATTTTACATTTTAAAAAGACCTGTATTATTACTTTAGGTGGAAATCCAGTTCAGCACTGTTGGATATTTGCATCGTGAGGTGAAGTGGGAGGGAGAAACCTTGAGAAGGGAGTTCAGATAGTCATGGTCTCAGTTTGATACTAACCAGAAGTGTACCCTTTGGCTGAGACATTTAACATCTCTGCTTTAGTTTTCTAATCTGGAAATCAAATCACATGATCTCCTCTGTCTCTTTTCCCTAGACATTTCTTAGGTTTAGGTCATGTTTTTTGAAATGCTACAGATAGCTAATAGTGCTTTCTGGGAACAGGAATTAATGACATGTTCCTACATGTCATCACTATGTGCTGGATGTGTTTAGTTAGCTCATCTATAAATTGGCTTTTTTTTTTTTTGCTTTTACAGAATAAGCAAAAAATGTATAAGTTACACACCTACCTAAAAATTATTGATGAGTTTGAAAATTACTAAACATTTCAATCTTTATTTTCTTAAGTTATTTTTTTACAAGTTAATGTATGTTTGGCAGGTTAGGTGATCATATTTTTGTAGCTATCTCACAATCATAGCTTTAGGTTTCAGTTTTGTTTTTTTTTTAAACATGATTTATGAAAGTAAAGGATTATAATTTCTAGGGATTTCAGGATAGTGAAAGAACCAAAAAGTCATCTGAATTTTTTATTACCGTTATGGGTACTTATTAACATTTTTGAAGATTATATAAAATCTAAGTACATTGAGTATGATAAGTATAAAGTTGGTATTTTTATTCCTACCTTCTCTGTAATTGTGAAAAATAAATTTATTGAAGGAAATAATCAGGATTGGCTTGCTTTCCTTTCTTCTTCCCTTGTGAGTTTAGCTACTAAATCCTGCTTCCAGCTTTATAATATCTCTTCTGCTTTTTTATAGCCAGTAAGCAGCCAGCCTGCTGTTTTGCCATTATATGGACACTCCAGCTTTCTTCATTAGTTTTTTAAAAAGTATGCCATGAACTACCCTGTGCAAGATTTTCACTTCTAATGTTACATATGAAACTTTACCCATGTATACTTCACAGGAAAGCTGTTTCTTCTGAGATCTCAAATCTACATGCTTCTTCATTTACCAGCTTCTATACCCCATCTTTTAATTCCTCAGGGTTTCTTTACTTTGACCTCCACCAAACCTTTAGGCTTTCTTTGCTTCCTCTTTTTCCCTTGGTCTCTACTTGTAGGGAACTACTTAGCTTACATGTGCTGGTCTAATAGTTCAGCTAAATAAAACAAAACAAAATTCATTCTTCATATTTGAATGTCTTCCTCCAGAGATTTTCTTCAGAAAATCAGTTTTGTGGATTCAGTAAATGTATATGGTTGCAAATATAGTGAATAGGCCTCCATCCTAATAGTCCTTTCTGTTGTTCTTGTTACCTTTGTCCATGTTAACAATCTTCTTTTTATTTTTTCTTAATATCTTAGAGTTCCTAGAATGATTTCATGTGGAGTCTGGGCCTCTAAGTACATGCTACTCATAGTCATGATCATGTTTCTCTTTTAATTTGAAGACTTTAGGGTTACTTATATGTGGACACTTGAGTTAGACCATAACAGAAAGGGCATATGACATTCTCTCTGTGGTAGCATTTTGGCTCACATGACTTTCTGTTTTTTTAACCTTCTGAAAAGTACTGGCAGGATTTCTTCAACCTAGCCACACAGAACCAGTTGTTCAGGACTGCCGCTGTAGGCATCAGAACAAATATGTATGTTGGTAATGCCAATAGCCCATAACTTAGGAGGAAAACTTTTTAGAAAAGATCAGTAACAGCATTTATTACTTTGCTATTAAGAGCAGTCTTAATTGAAGATTTTTCATTTAGCAAGTGGCATAAAGCATGCTGTCTCTTTTCTTTCTAATGAATATTTTCTAAAAATAGCACTTCACTGTAGTTTGACATTGCTCATCATACTTCCATATTGTTAACCTGAATTTTATAATGCCTTCATGATAAAAAGGAAAAACAAAGTGTGCTGTATTTCCCTCTCAAGTCTGACTCATAGATTTATGTATAAGAGGCATATACTATATATATAAATTTTGTCGTATTTGATTTTAAAATACCAAATCAAAATGACAGGGATCTGAAGTTATAAGGCAAGTTTGAACTATTAAAATGAATTATTTAAAATAATTATAGCTATCTTTTATCTTAGATATCATTAAATTCTTGGTTCTTAAAATACCTCATATATGCTACATATGTTCTATAATACTGGTGGCTACTTTTACCATTTTTATATATTCCTCTACTACAACGTATATTTCTTTTATATTAACAGTTTTTTTTATCATGCCAGAGAATCTTTCACATATTTAGTTCACAATCTAAAATTGTCTTGTAGCCTTAGCATTTGCTGCATTCACACCCACTTTTATTTAAAAGAGAGGTAGGCATATTATTATGCCCTGCTTCCTTCTACCTATTTCAGAGTAACAGTCATCCCTTTCTCCCTTCTAAGGCTGAGTTCCCTAAGGCCTTACCTCCATGCAGTGGGTATTGGTGCCAGTACTTCCTGCCTTCTTGTATCCTGCTTTGACTGCTTCTATACCTTAGTCTTCACTGGCTTCTTCCCATTTGCCTCAGCAACCCCTACATTTCCTTCTAAATATGTATAGGTTAAGTCAGTGGTTGTTTTCTTTTTATGGGTCTGATTTCCTTTCTTTTTGTTCTATCATTTCACTTTATTTCTGACTCCTACCCTAAAATTTCTTACGAAAGTGTGCCTTAAGCACTGTTTAGTTTTTACAGCCTTTTAATCTGGCTTCTTTCTGTCCTTTAGTTTCTTTAGACAGAAAACCTGAACTGTGCTTTTCACACGTCATGATTGCTCATCATTTAGCCATTGAATAAATGAAAGCCTTTCCAAGACACCAGCACATTTAAAGTGACCTCTTGCTAGCCATACTCATGGCCTTTTTTTTTTTCTCACTTCTTACTCTGTTTAGCCAACTGCAACTTTTGCGGGGTGGGTACTGGGGATCCAACTTGGGATCTTGTACTTGTGAAGCAGGCAGCAGCACCACTACGCTAAATCCCTGGCCCAGGCACATTTCATTTTCTAAGTCTTGCTCTTCTTCTAATAAATTTCTTTGATCTATCTTTGTTTCTATGACACTGACCTTTCTTGCTTCATTTCTTTCCACTTCTTTCACTGATTCTTTTCTGGTCAAATATCTTTTCATGTAGATGTAGATATTTATCAAAGTTCTTAACCCTCCTTTAATGTCAGTACTCCAAAGTGATGTATTCTTGTCTTAGGCCTTTATCATTTGGCACCCAGATGTCTACCTGAAATCCCTCCTGTGCTCCAGATTTGATTATCAATATTCTGGACATTTCTCTCTGATTGCCCCTTTGCTACCTCAGGTTATGGTGCAAGTCTTACATCTTCAATCATATTCTACACTTTTTTGTGGTTTTACTTCTTTTGTTTATATGGGGATGGGGCAGTGATGGAGGTGGAAGGTAGTAACTGTTTGAGACCAGAAAAGAGCACTGGAGCTTAACTATGCATTTGGAGATTTTCAGATCAACTGTTTGCATTTAATTCCAAATGTCAGTCTGCTAGTGCGTTATGCCTTCAAATCCTGAGTAACTGTGGGATGGTTTCCCTTATGATTGTAGTCTTGTTTTTCAAGACACTTGGATGGAAGTTTTTTTTCCATTCAATTACTATACCACCATTTATCTTTGAACATTTACCTTTTCTGAAATTTCTTTACTTTTAAAACTTTCCTTATTCATACATGTTACTACTACGTGACTTTTTTTTATTCAGATCAGCAATTTTCACCTTTTTTTCCCTCTGACAGATATGATGGATGACTATGTTGGAGGATCTATAATCAGAGACAGTTACTTGATACACTATATATATCTCTTTTATTATAACATATAGAGATGAAAAGCTGTGGAAGCAATATCATGGATATAACCTTGATTCTATTTCATATCAATTCATTCTCTGGCCCCCTCTCCCTCTCCTTCTTTCTCTCCCTCTCCCTGTCCATCTCTTTCTTTTGATAGGTCTTGTTACCCACACTGGTCTTAATCTCAAGGGCTCACACTGTCTTCCCAGGTAGCTGGGACTACACACATGAGCTTCCATGGCATTTTTAAAAAGTGAAATTTCAGTTTTTTAACTAATAGCAAATACCATGGACATATCATGGTATAAAAGTTACAGTATTTGTTGTAGTCAGCTTAGGCAGGGCAAACTAGTTTATGGCTCAACTTCCTTTCCTACTCTCATTCTCTAGTGAAAAAATAATTCTGTAATAAAGATGTAACATTTTTTAAACAAAATTACTTTAACAATAGGGGATAAATAGTTCACTTTACACCTTAACATTAGCTATAAATAAACTCAATAAAAAACAAAAAGAAAAAAATAGCTATAAAATCCATTAAAAATATTGTGACAAATATGTATCAGTAGTTACTATGGTGTTAAACCTCACCCACAAACTAAATCTATTATGTTAAAGATAATTAGTGATTTTAATTTAAAATTGTAGCATCATTGAAACTGTAACTCAAGATAGCAGTAACAATAAATTCATGATACAATATTTTCTTAAAATTGAATTTCAGCTGTTAGTGGGAATTTCAACTACTGGCAAATTTGCCAATATGTGGCAGCCAGATGTCTTAGTAGAATACTAAAATTCTCTAGTAAGCAGCTGGTTTCAGTTTATGAATACCAAACCTCAGAAACTGTTAATAATTAAAGTTATAGTCATACTCATGATGACAGCATAAGAAATTGTTTCCTTCTACCCAGTGGTGACAGGAAAGACATTAGGTAGATGGATGTCAGATGGAGATGTTCACTAGAAAAACATTTATGCCATTTTCATTCT